AACTAAACGTAAATGTTTAACGAAAGAAGCATTTGCTTCTGTGCTGCAAAAAGCAATTGATGACATCCCCAATACGGAGAATATTTTTAAAAACGCTTTTCGTGTGTGTGGATTTTTCCATTAAATTCAGACAACGTCGAATACAAAAAGATTTTACATAATACTGCAAACAGTTCAGGTTCCGACGTTGTTCCTGATGAGTCAGAACAACCTGAGATCATTTCACATCTGCGATTTTTAGAAAAGCACATTCCTCGAGAACGACTCGACAAGTTTTACGAATTACAAGGGAAAGAGTGGAACCAAGATGATATCAACAAAAACTTGTATAATGTGTGGCATGCAATCTTCAAAAAAACTGGTCTCAAATTTAATAACACTCAAAATGCATCAGCTAATACACATGGGTCAGAGGATAGCATCGTGTTAGAGATAGAAGATCATTCAGTTGGAAAATAAAGTCGAATTCAATGACAATAAGTTTTTCGTTCATCCAGAAAATGACAATCTTCACGAGAAAAGTGAGCTAACCCATATTTCGATAAATGAGGATATAGAGGAAAGCATGACAATCCAAAACGACTTAGAAAACAATTTTATTATGCTAGAAATTCAAGACAGCAGCACCCCAGGAAAACGAGATGACAATATTCCTTTAGACGCTGACAACATTAGAATTAAAAAGTCCGAGACACCTGAGACCAATTTAATAATAAAAAATGTTAACGTACCAACTCCATTTAAAAGGGTCCTTTTCTGGCCAGATGATCAACCACCAGGAACCTCTAAAAGAAGAAAGACAGAAAAAATTCCATCTGTGACTACGTCAAATGCATGGAAAGAGTATTACTCGAAAAAACAGGAAGCGTAAGATAAATTAATCGCTGAAAAAGAAGAAAGAAAACGCAAGAGAGAGGAAAAAAAAAACGAAAGATCACCAAACGAAAAAGAGATTACGTAGGAAGCAAAATGTCACAGCAGAAGAGGAGAATGTGGTAGAAGAGGAGACTGTAGCAGGAGAGAAGACTGAAGCAGAAGAGGGGATTGAGGAAAATCCAGTAAAAGAAGTCATGACCACGGCGCCGCTTGAGGAAGGTGATTATGTCATTGTCACATATGAAGAGGAATATTTTCCTGGTGAAATTAAAAAGATTCAAGCTAATAAAGCTTACATATGCACAATGAAAATAAGTGGCCTTAATATATGGAAATGGCCCAAAGTCGCAGATGAAATTTGGTACGACTTTGAAGAAGTCATACAAAAAATACCACCACCTCGAGAGATCAATAATAGGGTCTATTTTTCTGTTAAATAAACAGAAAAATAACAAAATTTTTTATTTTTTTAAATTTGGAATAAACTGTCAAACCCAGTGGTTCAATTTTCTATGGCCACAACTGTGTATTTTTTAAAAATGCGGTTAATGAATATAAACGAATTATACAGGGTGGTTTCCGATTTTAATTATGATGAAAAAATATTTCTTTTGAAAATGGAAGTATGCGGTAAATGTTAAATAAAGGCGGATAGGTAATGTTGTTACAAAGATAAGCAACAATCAACAAATCTGTGTAAAATTTAAATTTACAGTGATTTTTTTATCGTTGGATGAATTATTGTAACATAATAGCTAACGAATTAATGACCAGCTGCATTTTATTTAATTTTATTGGATTCTAAGAAATGTGCAAGGTAAATATTATGGCTTGTAAGTCAAAATTCTTATACAGGTAGCCCCTTTCCATATGTTAAAAAATTAACAAAAAAAATATATCAGAAATACATTTATCTTTTCTTTATTTTTTAAATTTTGAAGGTTTTTTTATTTAAAAAATGTAAAAATTAGCTCGACAGACATCACTATTTAATATTACTACATTATTGCAATTCTTCTTAAAAAATTATTAATTTTCTGACTAAAGTATTTGTTCGCTAGTGCGACTTTATTCAGTTTGGTAAAATGTAGGAGTGGGTTGTTCAGAGAAGCATAATGAAGGACATAATTTCATCAGTCTCGAAAACAAATGTTTAATTATTTTTTTCTAAATTAACGCAGTCTCATGGTCGTTTATTTTTTGTTACAATTATATTCAATAAATATTGAACTCTACAAAATATTATTTTTCCATTTTATAGTGAAATAAAAGTTATTGAGGTAATTTTGAATTTCTTTACAATTTCTTACATATTGTGTCAATGTGATGATTAGAGAGCGAATTTTATGAAATTTGCATTTTCCTTATTTTTTGCATGTAAACTTTGATATTTGATATGTGCATATTATGCATTTTTATCAATTTTTGTGCCAATTTAAACAAAAAATATTGTCATTCTATGGGCCTTTTTCTAGGAATACGAGATTTCACGTTGCAAATATTGTCCTGAGCTTCAAATAACTAGGAAAGGTTTGGGTTTTATGGTAGTTTGGAGAAACCACTGGGTGATAAATCATCCTTTCAGGTAAATTCGGGGACAAATTACTTTTTGAAATACCGTTCATTCCCAATATTTTTGTTCGTTACTTAAGTGTATTAATGGGATGTTTTATGGTGGTTGAAGGGACGTTATGCTTAAATTTTACAAAGAAAATTTAACTTAACACAATAATAGAATGTGCTATTTCCAGTTTTGCCTAATGTGGGAAAATCCATCTGAATAGCATGCTTATTTCTCGTGGAATAGGTATAGTCAAAAGTAGAATAATACCGTTTTTGCATAGTACGCTGAGATGAGGACGAAGTTTTTTTCCCCGTTATAATAGATTGTGATTTGGACGCTGATTTCGACTTCTTAAGTAGATATCTCGGTTGAGTCCATTCGGAAATCTTACCACCAATAGGGACCTCTACGGATTTATCAGTGGGAACATTCAAAATATCAACGACCTTATCGCGTTTATCGGTGTTAGACACGTTTACCAGTGAAAAAGCAGCAGCGGGCGGTTTGTGTGTGTTTTTGCTATCCTTTTTACAGTCGTAGACGGAGGTTTTTGCAGGGGGCGAGTTTGACACAGTGCTCCACGACAAGTTGTAAATCAAAAAGATTTTTATTCTAAGAAGGTCTTCATTTTAATCCTTTACCTAGTTTAGTGCACCCTGTTATCTGCGTTGGCTTCAAGAACCGTTAGTCACCTGCAAAGGAAACCGGCAATAATTACGGTTCTTATACCCCCGTCCCTCATTGGTTTTTATTTAGTTGTTAGCTAGAGATGGGTCGTTACTTTAGGAACCGTTCCATTGTAGCGCTACCGTCGAGTAGCGGAGTGTAGCGCTCCTCGCGACAAAAGTAACACGTTCCACTCTGCGTTCCACTTGGAACTTGAAACGATATTTGTACGGGAGTTACGGGACGGAAATTCAAGGAACGAAATCATAAAACACGCTTGTCCGGAACGTTACAAGAAACGCAAATAGTGAGGGCTTGGGAACTGAAAAAAAAGAGCATAATCTTTCTGTCATTAAAATAATTGTGTGTTTATCAACACAAAAAAGATATCATTAGACGTTTATAAGTAGGTATTTATTTTATAATATTTATGGAAAAAAAAAAGAAAAACAAAATGTATGCAACGCAGATCAAAAGTAAAGGTTTAACAATATAAATAAACAGATAAAATAAAATAAAAACTACATAACTAAATAGAATGCTATAAAACAAATAAAACAGAAACTCTTAAGCATATTTAAAGTACCTGATGATACGACTTATTATTAAAACTTATCACACACGTTTGCTAATCACTGCTTGTCTGTGTTTTGTTGTAAGAACAGAAGACTTCTAACTTTTTCTCCTTTAAGCCTGTTCCTACGGTCTGAAACTATTTGTCCTGCTTTTGAGAATATTCTCTCACAAGGCACAGACGTAGCAACTGTTACAAGTCGTCAGTGGCGGCTCGTGACTGTCTGATGTGGTGAGGCGATGATAGAAGTTTGACAATAATATTATCAATAATAAAATTAATTAAATTAATGTGATTAATGCATATTACTTGGTCTTAGTAGTCAGTAATGATAGAAGTCTTGCCTGAATACCGTTCATTTCCCCGTCAGTAGTGGGTCCTAATAATAGTAATAATAATAATAATATTATCACCCATAACACATTTCATCAACAATGTTTTTACAAGTCACAATTTTGTTTAAACTAGCACTTTCTTGGAGGGATTCGGCAATTGTTGTGTTCCTTTCTAAATCTTTTAAGCCCATGAAATTTTTAATTTGTACTTTGGAACTTTTATGTAACTTTGCACTTCGAATGAAATTCTTTAAATAGTTATATCTCGGAGACGTCGTCCATGTGTTTTTTACATTGCCTAAGAGTAGACACGGCCAACAATATAGACTTTCAGCATAAATATTACGGCTACGGCAGAGCCGTTTATGTTTCGTACCAGGCTGGTTTAAAAGATCTGGAGTACTGATGACATTGTCGCTTATCAATGGAAGTTAACGGTTTTGACTGTTCGATATTTAGCAAAATTTACCGACGTTCTAACTCGGTTCGTCGTGAAAACGGCGTTTCAAGAAGCAACATGACAATATCGTACTCGGGATTCATGTTTCACTCACCTGTACCCTGTACCTATGAAAGAGACAAAAACACGAAACACCAACTCCTGGACTTTTATTCACGTTTATGCTAATTACCCACGCACCCTGCATCCCTTCTATTCTGTAAAATAAATGGGAAAATGGTTTAATGGGTCCGCCGAAATTGGCCGAGAAGCATCGAAGATATCGCCTCAGTTGCGAGCGAATTCATGTATAGGAGTATAGCAGCTGAGTCATGGAAATCCGTGTCTGTGATTGGGCTTCATTGGCTCAAGTGAACCGACGCTCTGGCCGCTTCAGTTAAAGAATTCGGGGCATGAATCGTACAGTATTCAACGGAAAATGTCCGCAGAAAGTGTAAAAATAAAAAATCATCTACAGATTTACCATTTCAACATATTTTTGTAACTAAAAATGCATTGAAAGCTCTTTTTTAATTATAAATTAAATCAATCTGTTCTTAAGATATATGCTGTGAGGCGCCGCCTCACTTGCCTCATATGACGAGCCGCCACTGCAAGTCGTTCCTTGAGAACCTCTGCTAAATATGGAAATGAATATGCATTTGCTTTCCACCACGCCAGAGGATCTTCTGCTCGTTCAATAGGAGGTTCCTCCATGTACCTTTGTACTTCGACAATTGCTTTTGATGTCGCCGTATTTTTCGGTTGATTCGCTCGTCTTTGATGGAATTTTTCCCAAATTGATCCTTGATGGGCCATACTTCTAGTTTCCGCGTTCTCTAGATTTTCTTGAGCTGTCTCTGTATTTTTCTTGTTTATAACTTGGACAACATAAGATATTATTTGGTTTTTTGTTTTGTCCACTATCGCTGCATTCGAAAAACCAAAATTTTTATATCTAGGGTCCATAAATGTTGCAAATGTAAGCGAACTACTTTGGTCCAAGTTTCCTAGCCGTATTGAGAGTTCTTCTAAAATCGTGTTGATCATTGCAAGAGATAAGTCTTTAAAATCTTGTCTTCTCAAATTATTGTATACGTCGCGCAAACCATCGCTCATGAGAATAACTGCAGAAGCAGTTAAATAATGTTCTCCACTAATTTCTTTTGTAACTTGTTCTAATGGCCTTAATATTTTCACCAGTTCCTTAAAAAAATTCCACTCCTCCAATGATATAACTGGCAAATCTTTATCCAGAATTGCCATTGTAGACCTGATAGGCTGTTCTAACTCCACAAATCTCTCTAACATATAAAATGTGGAGTTCCACCTCGTTGCTACATCCTGAAGTAACTTCTTTGGTGCGATGTTCAAAAATCTTTGCTGCTCATTGAGTTTGGCTGTTGCAGTCGTGCTTTTCTTAAAGAAAGTTACAATTGATTTTAATTTTTCTAGAGCACCTTTAACGTGCTCCAATGCAGACTGACAAATTAAATTTATAGTGTGTGCGTAGCAACCCAAATGTCGTAACTTAAGTTCTTCTTTCACTGCTTTTTTAATATTTGCAGCATTATCACTAATAACCATTATAACTTTTTCTTTTAAATCCCATTCTACAATTATTTTCATTAGTTCCTGTGCTAAATTTTTGCTGGTGTGGCTTTCCAAAAAAGTAGAACAATCTAATAATCTAGATTGTAGTTCAAAATTTTCATTTACAAAATGTGCAGTGACGGCCATATAACTCTCTGTAGTTCTAGATGTCCAAGTATCGGTTGTCAGTGTGCAGGCTTTTATTTTAGATATCTCCTCTTTTAGACCTAAATGGGCTTCTGCGAATTTTATTGGTAACATTGACTTTGTTACTGTCTTCCGTGAGGGTAATTTGTACGAGGGATTTAAAGCGGCGGTATATTGTCGAAATCCAACATCCTCTAAAATACTGAACGGTTGCATGTCCTTGGTAAATAGCAGCATTAGAGCATCGTCGATTTTTTCGCAGGCAGCAGAGCCCATTTTTTTCCGAAGAAAACTACCCATTGTCACTTGCTTCGCTCTTAGTGTTGTTTTTTTCTTTTCAGGTGCTCTAGTTGACGATGTTGGTGATAAAGTCGGATCTGTAATCTCATCCTCCTTAAAAGTAGTCGCCGATGACGTCAGTGCTGTACTTGTTAACAAATCTTCTTTAGAAGTGGTTGCTGATGTTGAGGGTTGGTCTAATGAATCACCACTCTTAACAGTGTCAACTCTCTCTTCTTTTAAATTAACTGTTGGATGTCTTCTCATCATGTGTTTTTTTAAATTATTTGTTGTTGATTTATATGCCAACACTTGTTTACACAATTTACAGCGCGCTTTAAAATCAGGCTTTGGATCAAAGAAATTCCACAGGAAAGACACTTTAGGCGACATGGCTATAACAAGTCCAAACTCAAAATTGAAACTGATAACTGACGCAGAAATAATGGGTAGAGTAGAGATATAGGAGTAGTTGTTGGAAATTTCCATATCCAATTATCTTAAGCAGGTACCTGGGGTTGTGAGAGGTGATTGTGTGTCCCACCCACCCCATTTAGTCGGTACGGGTAAACACAATTTTGTAGTTTTAAGTTCTGCAATAAATCTTATCTCTCTCTCTTATCGCTTTGGTCCTTCGAAGCAATTCTAATAATCACAAACAGTAGTATTTTTACTATCTTTTTTACGATAAGTCATGAAATGTAATATTTTATTTTAAGAAAATGATGTACAAAGTAAAGCGGTTTTATCATAACACATATTTGTTACTGTTTTATACCTTTATTTTTCAGACAAATGTAGCATCTTTTCCTGTTGCCACATGTGTCATTTCTTCACTTTTTCATTGTTGGACCTAACGCGAGGCGGGCTTGGTAGGTCCGTTTTGCCCTAGAATGTGTTATGTTTAAGTGTAAATATTGGGCAATAAAATTAATATTTTTACAACCCTCGGTAGAATAATTTATCGTGATATATTCTCAGAAATCGTGAAACGAGATTAAAATAAAATGAGTTTCAACAAAAATATGAAAATTTAAAGTTGCACTCTAGTGATTCCGGCCTACCTGCAGCCTTTGTTCCTATAAAGGGTTTAAATACGTTTCTAAGAAATTGTACTTATTTTGCCTTAAACGGAACCAGCTATTCTTCCTAAAATGTCGTCTATCCCTGCCGCACCGGGATAGACGATTACCGGACATGGTCATAAAAACTTCGTAAGCCGATATTAAAGAATAATAATTTATGACGGGTTGTCGACAACAGACCTTCAGCACAGAATAATCATTTCCGGTATTCTTTTGAAATATTAATTTTAATCGCTGGAGATAATTATTAGATAAACTCAAACACAATTTGGACACTGTAGTATGGGAACAAAAACAAAAAAAAATATTCCACAATTTGCGACACATCAAACAGCGAAGCGATGGTCTATTTGCAGGAAAAAAGAAAAGATTTTTCAGTCTTGAATAACTATGCTACAGTAAAATGTTTATTTTTTAAAGTTAATGCCACAATCCATTCTTCTGCACCTGTGGAACGGATGTTTAGTAGCGGAAACCAAATTCTGACACCAAGAAGAAATAATTTAGGTGACAATACGTTCGAAATGTTGTTAATTTAAAAAAAAATCATTAAACAATACATAAAAAAATACATAAACATGTTTTCAGTTATTTTATTAGCCAAACCTTCAAAAAGTATCTGTTTTCTTGTATCTGTATCTAGCTACATTTCGAAAAAATCGAAAACAATCTGTATCTAAGTACTTTTAAAAGTATCCGTCCCCAACACTGCTCGTGATGAATACGTTCCAAAGTAACTAGTTATTTGGAGCGCTACTTTCTTGTAGCGGTAGCGGTTGTAGCGCTCCACGCGTGGAACGATTTTGCCCATCTCTACGCTTTTGGTTTGTGAGAATCTTCGAACATCGTTCATTTCAAAAACAGTGAAAATGTCTCGTTCCAGTGCCCCACCAAAAGTTTTCGTCAACATTTGTCCGCCAGAAATAAATTTCGTTCTGGAGGACGAAGATTCGCATCGGAGAAGATTGACGGTGTTCAATTCGTGCCGGCAAGCCATGATGTATCACAGTAAGCATAGTTTTAGAAAAATTTGTTCTTGGTATACCGATATTTTCGTCTTACAGTTTATCCACCTTCCCCGTCTAAATTTGCAGTGGAAGAAAAATTTTTGCCGGTGGTCGAGCCTCGCTCGAGCGCTCAGGTGTATATCAAGTATACGAACCCATCTGTCGAGGACTGCGACATGCGTACAAAAAAGGTAATTAATATAATTTCTTCTTTTGGTACATTTTTTTAATAAAATTATTTTTTTAGATTGTTGGTGAGAATTACATTCTTGCCAAAATACGGTCCCGCGATGACGAGCCAGTCAGAAAAATTAAGAAAGAAGAGGACGAAATATATTCTGGCTACGAATCACCCGAAGACAGTGAAAACGAAATCACGATAGGTGAACATCGGCCAAAAGAAGAATCCGTTTCTGAAACAGATATAAAAATACACGGACCGAAAAGAGTAAGACAGAGTCAGCTAAAATTCAATCAAAAGACCACACATAATGAAAAGGCAGAAAACAACGTAACGGAGCAGCGCGATCAGGACTTAAAACCCGCGCCTGAAAAAATATGCAGGTATGTATCACATTTTTTATTTTAAACATATTTCGTTTAGTGATAAAGCTCGGAATTATATGCAAAAAAAAACATGTATATATATTCGCATATATATGCAAAATATCCAAGAAAAATTTCTTTTTGGGTCTATATTCACCTCATTTGAGAACTGTCCATCTAAAACTTTTGCCACGTTAACTAGTCTAATAAAAACCCATTTTTACTAAGGACTTCGTCTAGTTTTCTTGAGACTGTGAGACTGAGCAATAGGACCTTGTGCTTTATTGATATATTTTTTTTTAATTAACTATTAGCTGTACGGATTCACTTAGGGGCACTTTTTGTTTTTCTAATCTTGATAATGTTACAAATGTTACACCAGTTAATTCGTAGTTGTTATTTATGAAACTTAAGTTCTGATTTAATTTAGGACTATTTAAAATCCATTCTAGGTTTTTCATCTCTTCCAACCCCTCGTTAAATACATTGGCAGAATTATTTATATTTACAACATCCGGTTTAGACGTTAAGAATTCCAGTAATACTCCTATAATTGGGGGTGCCAATAAATGAAGTCTTGGAAAAACATGTCCGCGTTACTAGAAAAGCTCGGTACTTATTTACCTATATATTGGCAATAACCAACTGTATTAAAATTAAGATTTTCACCAATTACCACGAAAAATGCAGCAACAATTTTCAAATATGCATAAAAATGCACTTAACATTAAAATATGCAATAAATGCCAACTTTATTGATAAAATATAGAAAAAAGAAATTGAGTCGTCCTTTTGCGCAATATCTAGCGCTCCTGACTATATTTTATCTTGACTAACGCCTCATCGTTACACAAATATCATTTTGACTGACGTTTAATTTTTCAGGCCGGTACCATGGAAGTTGGACTTATTCCTATGGTCCGTTGTGATGATTCTGCTAGGAATAAGCTACTTCTTAAATCAACAGTTGGCAGAAGAAACGGGCTTCCCAGAATGAGTCCATTCCAATGCCATGTGGGAAGAGCGATTAGCAGCCTGCATGGGCTTTTTCGTCGTCTTCTTATTGAGGCACACAGTCTTAACCATTAACGATTGGTTAACAAGGAAGGTAATTATTACAATAATTTTTTCTTGATACAAATTTTGGAAACAGTTTTTTTTCCTAGATTTGGTCGAAACTATATTCTTGCATCAGCGCAATAAGAGCAAAGGAAATTCGTAAGGGAGACTGTCAATTTTTTTTTTTCCGAAACAAGATCGGCCAGAAATATGCAATAGGAAACACTTGTAAAACAGAGGCAGCAACCCAGGCAACATGATGTCGTCTTTTTCACGTGAATAAATGGTCATCATTTACGTCATAGTGACCAAAGATTTCACGTGATATTGACGTACCAATGACGGTCAAATGTCTCGTCTAGATGACGTCATTTTCTCACGAACGATTGACGTGATGTACTGACGTCTTAGAGTCGTCATTTTGTAACGAATTATTGACGTGATTTACTGACGTCCCAGAGACGTCATTTATTGTCCATTTTAAGACGTTTTTTATGTTTTGATTTTTAGAAAAAAATATGCAATAAATAAAACGCTGAAATAATTTTATTTTTTTATATTGTTTAGCTTAAATAAAATATTATAATTCGTTATAATCACCAAGTATTTATTTACTTTTCTTTTTTTTTTGTATTGATAATATACAGGGTCATTATAAAATATTGTAGTCAACTCACCTATGAAAAACAAATGAAATTTTTCTCGTGCCGCTAATCACCAAAATGATTTGAACTGTTTTGAAATGTCACGAACGTCCAAACAAATCTGTCAGATGTGTCAAAAATTGAAATGCCCGGTTCGCGGTTTAATTTCATTTTAAATAGACACGAAAAGACGCCAGGCCAGAGCATTAAGGGTTGCAGTGTTATCGAGCATTTGTGAACGCCACTGCAATACATTTCAGTTTCAAAAATTGTAAATTGTCAGAAAAACGTTTAAGGGCTTTGTCATAAATTACACCTTGGAAAGTCGATTGGAGTTGAACAGAATAAATCATCTGGTCTGTTTTGCAAAGAAGCAATAATTTTTCAAATAATGAAATCCAAAAAGTGAGGTTAAGTTTGTCGAAACCAATGAACACGGTAATTATTTAAAAAATTACATTTTTATAGGTACCCTGAAGGTAAAAATTGTGAAAAATCACGTAATGGACAATGGCAGAGCAAGTCTTATCACAGTTAACGAACACTATGAGTACCTAATGAGTTTTTGCAATAAATAATTTTGCCAAAGTTGTGATCCCGCGAAAGTTCTGTTTGTAAATTGTAAGGAATCGTCAAAATATTGGTGCAGACATGGTTTGTGACCGGTGCTTTTCTCTTGAAAAAACACAACTGAAATCCTTGATCTTCATCCCTACAATAGGTGAAAACTGCTATGTCCAAACATTACCTTCAGCTTTGCAGTTTCTAGATATCTGAAACATGCCAGATCTGCATAACAGGAATGTCAAAGAGGTTCTACCCAAAACACGCCCACATGGCCATCCTAATATCAAGATTTTTCAAAATTTCTATAAGAAAAAAGATGAAAAAACCAATAAAATTTCAGGAGCATAGTGTTAAGAGTTCTGTAGCTGATTATGAGATCTCTTGAAACAACAGAATGTTTAATAAAGATTTTTAACTTTCCCAATAGTAAAATTACAATTATTACTAAACAGTAAGTTGAAGTAAGTTTTAAATTAAGAGAATGC